GAGCGCATGGCAGCCTTAAAAAAACTACTACTACTACTACTACTACTAACTACTAGTACTAGTGGTAGTACTAGTACTAGTACTAGTACGCGGATCCACAGCACTTCGTTTGTCTTGGCATGAACTTCAGCATGCCTGCCTAGGACTATTGAGACTCCCGCGCCTTGGCTTCAAACCTGGACAGTTGCCGATTGATGTGGTCCAGGAGGGTGTGGATCTCGCCACAATCGAAACTCATTTTCTTCCAGTCGCGCAACAGCTGCAACAACAAGGACCTTGCACGGTGCTGCAGATTTGCCGACGCTTCCCCGATTGGGGCGTCGGCACAGGAGGCTGCCTCGTTCTCTGAGCTCTCCTTGTGAGCCGACTTGCGAGGAGGAGATAGAGCAGCTGCAACTGTGTAAAGCACCTCTGCAAGTTTAGCCTGGTTAGCCATTCTTCCGTTTTTTCTGGCAAGCTCGAGTTTCTCAATACAAGCCAGCCTCTCCTCGTTGACCATGTTCGTCCATTCGTTCATCTTATTGAAAAGCTGGCGCGGTGTCTGCCGGCTGTCGCCGACCTCGTGACCTGCTTCGGAATCGATTGAACTGGGCTTCGACGGCTTCAGGCTGCACTTCCGGAAGCTCTTGCTCTTGAGCATCTGGTTCGACTCGGCCTCAGCCACGTCTACATCTTTGGTGACCGGAGCTGTGAGATGTTCAGCATCGCATTGCCTGAACCGATCGAGCTTTTGCACAAGCTTCCTGTGCATCTGTTCCCAGGCTGGATCGGCCGCAGTGGCGCGTTCCAGCACGGATTGCACCTTGCGAAGGATGCGTTGTTGTGAAGTCGACAAGTGTCTGCCGTCGCCAACCTTCGACAAAAACCTTCGTAGCAGGTCCATCTCTGTGATACCAGGAACGTAGCCCCGAGGAGCATACACGAGCCATGCAGCCACGTGAGCTACCCAGATCCGAGCTCGTCTGCCTTCCAGGTTACTTTTTGCTCTTTCCATGGCTTCAAGCAGCATGCGCCTCTGGTGCCCTGCTCTGTGGAATCTCCGCGCGTGTGATTGTAACTCTTTCATCTTGCGCTGATTCCTTTAGCTGTGGGCCGGCTTAGCTCGAACACGCGGAGCCGTGGGGGCGCATGGGGGCTGGGTGAAACAAGCAGCACCACCCTTGAATTAGATGTGGAAATCCATGGAAACGAGGCATGCCTGAAGCACGTCCCGCTAAAGTGCAAAACCCTCAACTTCTGAGCATTGTGCCGACGTCCGCCCTAGAAGTGTCTTTCGGCGTGACAGTGCTCGCTGCAGAGATGGCAGCAGGCAGAAAGATGCATGGTGTCTGTGCCAGGACCTTTCGCATGCACCGAAACAAACCATAAAAAACAAGGTCCCGTCGCATGGTGCCTTTTCTTAACTAACTAGGCAACCAAGGTGAGTAAACTCGCAACAGTGGCAAGGTAAACCCCTAAACCCTAAACCCTAAACCTTAAACCCTAAACCTAAACCCTAAACCCTAAACCTTAAACCCTAAACCTTAAACCCAAAAGCAGAGCACGACTGCAGTCGTTGGGCCTCAAGCTGCCCATGCTTTATCCGACATCGCCAAAAGAAGCGCCAAGAGAAGGAAAGACCCTCCGTGACAGCACCGAGTCACCCCAAGGCCAGTGGCCACTGCTCGGCTTTCTGGTAGGCACTGATCCTGAGCTGGGCTTTAGCTCTTGCAGTTGCAGACGGCGGAACCATGTAATTAAAGGCAAACCTCTTCCCATTCCGCACGTGCCCGCTGACCGAGCTCTTGACGAGTGGCACGGCATTGCAGGTGAACAGGTTCGCCTGCCCAGAACAGCCATCCAGACTACTTGTGACTTGTGGCAAGTCAATCTATCCTTTCTTCAAGGCCCTGTTGCAAAGCGGAGTCGACAGCAGGAACATGTGGACTATAGTAGATGCTTTCAGTGTTTTCGAGTATACGTGAGGCAGTAGAAACACGTAGCCGGCCGACTACCTCCAGCTGATCCGCTTCCATGGCATGGAGAAGGGCATGCACGTGGCGCCACTGCCTGAAGGATCTTGCATAGGTCCAGGCAGCATCCACAGAAGCGGCAGAAACCCTAAACCTTAAACCAGCATCTTGTGTCGACTCGGCCGCCCTCTGCACGATTCCACGGTGTCGTGTCCGAACTGCCCTCGTTCTCTTAAGCAATGCCCAGCTCACAAGCACTCCATCAAACCATGACGGGGAGCAGGCACTTGCCGCAAGCAGTGATGAGGGCGTTGTAGGTGATCACCTATCGAGAGGAGACTGCAGCCAAAGCCCTTTCAAGTCCCACATCCTTAATAGCTCCCCTTCCACAGGACATTTGGGAGGGGCTTCGAATGGGCAAAAGCGCTAACATTCGTAGCTGAGGCACAGACCCCGGGCCCCCTACAGCACCCTCCCCTGGCTGGGTCCAGGCGAGGAACGCTCCCGCAGAGGCCGACACCCAAAAGCACGGAGAAGAGCGCCAAGGCGCGCTGCCACTGCCAGCCTAAAGGGAAAGCTAAAGCGAAAGCAGAAGGAGCCGCTTCGAAGCAAGGGTTTTATGGAGGAGAACTAATATAGGTCTTCTGACGGATGTTTCGGACTGACCCCTCACTTCTACCTCGCCCGTTGCCTTGTTCATTCCGGTTCTGGCCCTATCCATCGGCACACATGCACACATGTTGTGCGAAGCACGACCAATCCCTTGCAGCAAACGGCATCATGAATGTCAGCTAACTGCGAAGCTGGCTAATTTCCGAATGCTGTGGTGCTGGGTAATTGGTGATATGAGCACATGGGGTTGAGAGAGGGTGGTAAGCATGGGATGGCAACGGAGTTGAAGCCTCGGGCAGGAGTTCTTTTCTGAAAGCCTCGCCTCAGTAGTGACCTTATTCAAGCCGCACTGGAGCGAGCAAGCTTGCTGCGAAGCACTGGAAGATCATGAACCGAGGAGCGGGGACGGACAAGGCAACAACTCGGGGCATCTAGCTACCTACATGCGATTCAGGGGCTCTTCTCGCAAGCGCTGATCGCAGCATTGTAGGTGATTGCCTGGGATGCCGTGCTGAAATCCGGGTCCTTCAGCACGCTGCTTAGCGTCCCTCACATATAGGTGGGAGTTTGGATTAGGGGGACCCTTGGGGATATAGACCCTCTCAATTTTAAGCGAGCCAGAAGTAGGGTTTAGAAGGATCCCCTTTAAGGGGTCTCCCTAATACTACCTAGGAATAGGGCCCTTTCCTTTTTATGGGCCTTTTAGAGGGGCTCGCTCTTTTTGGGGTACGGCTCGCCGGGTTGGGCTCTTGAAAAAAGGGATGTAATCCAAGTTACCACAAGAAGGTAACCATATTATTTACTATAGATCCCTATTATTAACAAGAGCCCAACTTAAGTTACCATAATAAGGTAACCATAATATTTACCATGGATCCCTGCTATGGTAACTTAACTTACTTAAATCGAGGCCCTTAACAAGAATAAGGTTACCATTACATGAACTATGGATCCCTCTTATGGTAACTTAAATCTTGAATCCTTTAACTAACAACAAGTTGAAGGCCCTGAATCCAAAGGCTACGGAAAGGACCGTCCCTGCCTCCATTTGAAGGCCGCTCTCCCGAAACTCCTGGCAGGGACCCAGAGAACCCAATACACCTTAATTAAGGAATATACCTTAAACTATAGGGGCCTTATTATCATGATTCAATGTACATTTCTTAATTACGGGGTATTGGGTTTCTCTGGGGACGGGAGACATTTGGCAAGTCGCTGACCGAGAACTGTTGAAGGCAACAGCCAAGACATGCAGCATGGAAATCATGCCAGCCGTGTGGGTAGTTCTCGAAAATAGGGTCCCCGTTTTTAGATCCCAAACATAGTACGGCACTCTTATAAGAAGGACCCTAATGTGCCAACCTGTCAGTCTGCTCGGATCGCGCGAAGGACGGTTTAGACATCCTGAATTCCCGAGCGACTATACATGTACTGTATACAAGCATACGCAGGCCCACATGCTTCACTGGTATGCCACGGGCAAGAAAGATGACAGCAGTGCCCAGACCTCAAAGCCCGGAGAGCAATGTATATTATATGATGTGATATTATGTTATACTATACTATATTATCTGACTATATAATATACTATATTATTCTATACTATATTTCTATACTTTTTTTTATCTTATTTTATAATATATTATAGTATACTATACTATATGATCTTAATAAAAAATATTATAGTATATTATGAAATTCACGCCCAGTGAGATCGAAGCCCTCTGGTCCTGCAGCAGCGCCAGCGCACGCTCCCACTGCTTCCCTTTCTCGCCTTTGGCTGCCACGTCGGGGGTATTTAAGATAATATAATATAATATAGTATAGATATAATATAGATATAACATAGATATATTTTGAACAAAAAAGGATGTAGGACATCACCTTCATACGCTGCTCGCGTCGAAGCTCCGTCGAATCCGGCCCCGAAACATTTCAGAGCAAGCTGCATGCGCTGATGGCTGCGCTCAAGGTGAAGGCATCTTCCTGGAATTGTGGCCAACTACCGTCCACGTCAAAAGTGGGAAGTTTGCAGAGGCTCCATGTGGGGATGAGAGACATCATCACTGCGCTAGGCTTTTGTGGGGTCGAACAACTTTTCGGTCCTCGGTATCTGCCGTATTCTGTGCATGTGACGAGCATGTACTCGTGTCGAAAGTCATACGTACTGCAATACAAAAAGAAACTGACTGAGGAATGTTGCATCGCAGGCATCCCGAAGCGGCACATTGGGCCAGCCAGGGCTGAACCTACATGTAAGGATTGCAGTGCAGACGCCTACCAGGTGATTGCTTTCGGTCCTGAGCTTCCGATTTGAGACGAAATGAGAAGTACTGGTACCAGCAGTGAAACTATCAATAGCATACAAGTAACCTAAACCCTGGACCCCAAATTGGGTAGTTCTCTAAATTAGGGTCCTTTGTTAGGTCCTTAATTTAGTACGGCACCCTGAAAAAGGACCCTAAAAGGGACCCTAATTTAGAGCGCTACCCAAATTACTTGGGGGAGAGTAGGGCGCTGTTGCTGTGCAGGTGCTTCCAAAGCGCTGCTTCGGAGCTCCGCCAGCACTGTCAGGGCCTGTAACGAGGGGTAATTCGACACACCGTGCGCGTTCAACCAGACACAGCGATGGTGTCTATGTATATGTGTACATACATTATAGACACATGCATCAATTAGACAACCACGCTCTTTTATAAATGGTTAATAACGAAACATCATAAAAATCCAAACATGAGTCAATATCACGACATTTCTGGAGAATGCGTCGGAATACAGGCATTTGGCTTTCAAGTAAAAATGAGCAACGGTTGGTATATGTGCATGATTTTTCGCGTTGCTACCTGTGAACAAAAGTGAACATATAGACACATATGTATAGGTATGTGTATATATTTACCTACATATGTATATGTATATGTATATGTATATAGGTACATAAATGTATGTGTCTGTATATGGAGACGGTGCATGCACATATCTAAATGGATGCATGCACGTAAGGAACATGCAGCCATGCGGACATGCATCGACTTCCTGATACTTCCATCCACCAACCCACCCACCCTCGTCCGAACTGGCACACGTAGACATATGCACATGGAAAAAAGGACTCAAGGATTTCACAGGAGGCCTTGTTGCTAAACTGAGACCACGAAGTCATGTGCACTTTATGCGTGGTGCTCCACACTGAGAGCTGTCGCATGTTGAACCTTTCAAGCAATCTCCGCAAATCCTGGCCCTGCTGACAAGACATGCATCATCAGTTACTTTGAGGCTTTCGACATGACGGCCCGAACGGACGCTCGGAGGATGCACATCTGCACGTCGCATCTAGGCAAGCTGCTCGTGGCCAGTCTTCCGCTTTCTCCAATGCGCTGATGATGGCATTGAAGGTGATGACCTCGGACGTTTGGCTCCGCTTGACCGCTTCCTGGCGTCTGACCTTCGGCACCTTGCTCTGCTGCAAGTTCCTTTTTGGTGCTGTCAACCCCGTCTACTTCGACAAAGGCTGCGTGTGAGATCTCCTTCGCAGCTGTGTTTTATGTGCAAGTGCAGAAACTTTTTTCAGACGCCAGAAACTGCTGGCGCAGCAACTGCATGGTGCCTCGCTTTTTTAAAGGCTATGACGCAGAGATACTGGAACTCTGGACCTTCTGTTTTTGCCACCGGAGACCATCCTCGGGAATTCCTCTCTGCCAAGAGCGTGCAAAAAAAAGCATTCTGAGGCCTCAGCACCCGCCTGGACGATGCTCCGACGTAGCGTTGCAAGGAGCTGCACGGCTTGAGGCCAGTCGTTGGCCTCTGGTGGTGTCCAATCCCGGGCGCATGGATTGGCAGTTTTGCTCGTTTGTCTTTGAGTGCTTGCGGTTTTTGGGGGGTTGTGCGGCCGCAGGGTTTGAGTGTGAGGCTTGACATTCGGAACTTGCGTGGTAGTATCTTTGATGCGACCGGTGCATTGATGAGGAGGGCGGGGACCTGGACCAGATGGAGTACGGCCCAAGATTCCAAAGCTTCAGTCAGGTCTTCACGACGGGGCGGCATAACAGCCGCTTCAAACGTCCCAAATTGCAGGAACTTCGTGTCGGGCACAGGAGACTATTCACAAGCATACCTGCTACGGGCAAAGGGAAGCGGTGCTTGCCCAAGGGGCACAAGCGCTCACAGCAGCATTGAAGCTGACGACATCAGGCACCGCACGCCCCCTGAGCACAGAACCGACTCTCCATGGGAAAAGGCGTCCTAGGAATCCAGACTTGAGTCCCCCGAGGTCTGCATTTTCTGACGCCAGGCGGAAGTCCTAAGCACTGGGACCCGCTGCAAGCAGAGAAAGACATGGCACTTTCCGAAAATAAGGGGTACCTTATTTTCATTTCCTTATAAGAAGGATCCTACTATCTAGGCAGATTATCTGGGGTACTATCTTAGGGTCCCCTAGTTTCGGAAAAGCCCCAAATGTCCTTGCCCCGAGGGACCCTGGCAGCGCTGCCAGGAGCTGCAAGGCCCTCGGCCAGCGTGCTGCCTTTTCGAGGGCGCTAAGGACCTTCGACGCCGAAGCCGTGGTAGCCGGGTTTTAGGGCTTTTGGGTTCAGGGTTTTAGGGTTTTAGGGTTTAGGGATTAGGCAAAAAACAGTGGCCTCTGTGCTTGGCAAGCCCATGGTTGAACGAACGCTCCCAAATTGATGTCGATGTGGCTGCACAGAACTAAGAAACTTTGGGACAGCGCACGCTTCCTATCCTTCGTCAGCACCGATCCTCTCAGTGACATTGAATGGTTTCTGCGAGCGGAAAATTCACAGAAATGGATCGTTTTTGTTCCCTCCCTCCCTCCTTCTGTCTGCCTGTTTTGCTTTGTTGCCCCGGGGCATGGAGGATGGGCAGTCCCCATCCCCATCCCATCCCCATCCCCTGTCTTCCTGTCTCCCTCTCTATCTCTCTCTATCTCTCTCTCTCTCTCTCTCTGTCTTTCTTTCTCTTTTTCCTCTCTCTCTCTCTCTCTTTCTTTCTTTCTCTCTCTCTCTCTTTCTTTCTCTCCGCCTCTCTGCCTCTCTGGCTGTCTGTCTGTCTCTCCCCAGCTTCTCCTGCAACACAGCTTGCAAAGCTAGGCGGGCGACAACGCTGTAGGTCATCGTACTCAGACCGCGTGGCAATGATGTTGTCAGGTGTGCTCCTGAGATGGATGTCCAAACCAACGGCATCACAGAATCTGCGTTCTCATGTTTGAAACGTTGCTTTACCTGTGTATGTGATGTTGCTATACTGTCAAAAAAACGGTAGTTTGAAAGAGATTAAGGAATTCCGCAGATGCAAACTCTCTCATACTGTTCGAGCACAGAGCTGACGCAGCAAATGCCGCTACGGCAACAGCAACCTAGAAATTTGCCTTACATAGCCTTACATCATAATTTCAAGCTCCCTATAATTTAAGGTATATTCCTTACTTGGAGGTTCTGGGTAGTTCTAAGTGGGGTTATAAGTCCCCTAATTTGGGTTATAACTATAGTTACCCTACTTATAACCCCACTTATAACTACCCATGAACCTCCAAGTAGTTCAGGGGTATTGGGTTAGTGGGCTGCTGCTTCGAGAGCACTGACCTGCGACTTGGATGCGGAGCTGCACCAAAGCGCGCTGCCAACGACTGGAGACGGCACAAGCTCCGGTGGCAGCGTTCCTTGGGTTTACGTAAAGGATACATGGCATCATTGTATGGCTCAGCAAGCCGAGCTGGCTTCTCCCTTACAAAGCAATCCCAGCCTCCGAAGACATGCAGATTAGATTACCGACGTAAGGCAGTACGTTTATAGAGACCACTCTAGACGAACCTACAGTCTGCCGCTTTTGCAGTGTATTTAGAAAGCTGGACAACTTGGGGACTTGAGCCCGAATCTACTTCCTTCCAAGCGAATCCCTTGCTCAGATCACGATCACTTCCAGCCCGGGTTCCAGGACATCTCGTCTGGGCGGAGGTCGACCTGGTCATTCGCGGACTATAAAAGCCAAGCACATAAAAACAAAAACCCTAAAACCCTAAAGCACTGAACCCTCAAACCCTAACCCCTAAGCCCTAAGCCCCTGTCAGACAGCCGCTTGAAGGCGCCTACCTGCTGACATTTTCGGCGGCCGAAGATGCTGAGCATTCCTGGACAAGCCTGCTTGCAGCCCCTGACAGGCCCGGGGACTCCAAAACCCCTTAATTTATACCTTCAAGTATAATAGGAACCACAATAATTAAGGGGTATATTGGAGTCTCTGGGGGCTTTCGGGCCTGACTCACTCCAAGAGCCCCCCGGAATCTTTCACTTCGCACCTGGCAAGCAGCGCTGACGGCTGCACAGGCCAAGCGCCACTTCTCGACCGCCTTACCTCAGAGGAAGCCGAGGGTTGTGTGCAAGATGTTCTTTAGAAGTTGCTGTGAGGCTGGATGCTTGAAGCCCGTATGTATATATGTATGTATGTATGTATGTATATATATGTATGTATGTATGTATGTATATATATATATATATGCGTATAGTGAGAGCAATGGTATGCCCATCTGGGCCAGACAGAGCATGCATCCGGAGCCTATCCTTCTTACTGGCTACGACGTCTGACGACTGGAAAGAAGATGTAAACAAAAAAACACACACACACACACCCACACCCCCACCCCCACCCCCACCCCCACCCCCACCCCCACCCCCACCCCCACCCCCACCCCCACCCCCACCCCACCCCCACCCCCACCCCACCCCCACCCCCACCCCCACCCCTGAGCGGGGG